TGAAACAATCCTTCCTCCCGTTATGTTCAACATAGGTTAGTAAACGTTACCTAGCTTAGTACAAGTGTGACCATGTGAGCACATTTGTACAACACACTACACACTTCCCCCACAACGTCAACACACTTCCCCCTCAACCATGTACAGCACACTACACACTACCCCCACGTCGATATGCCTGTACTTGTACTATTGGAAAAGACAATCGTTCATTCCTTTTTTATAATTTTATTTTCTGCTTTTAAGTCTCAGAATAAAACATTTTTGCAGCTGTACATTGTTGAGTTGACTGAACTTTGTCGAGTTGATTGTGTGTTGTTGAACTGACCTTGAGTTGACTGTATGTTCTTGAGTTGATTGTACAGTGGAAACCTGATATAACAGGGATGGTGGGACCAGAGAAAAAGTCCTATTGTATCAAAAAAGAAAGAGAAGTAAGCATATTAATATAAAATCCTGTGGTTTTCCTTGAATTACACTTTTTTAGTGTTAAAACGGCCAATCTTCGAATAGGTGGACACACGCCCTAACGTATTAATTTTTGTGCTGTGAAAATTTTGATTTCATTCAGTTTCGAAACCTTTATTTTTCACGTTTTTACTCTCTGTGTGGCTACAAACGATCTGGACGCATAAAACAGCACAAGAAATTCTGGTGCTTTAAATTAAGTTACCTCTGCCAACATATTGCAATATACGTCGTCACAGAGAGTTGAAAGCTTGAAAATTAATGACAACTGTTATACTGTTATGGCAACTTTTGCCATTTTTAGTGGCAACTTTTTTGGGGGAAAATTGCAACAAACGCAGATGCTAGACAGAAGTAACCCAGAGGCAGAAATGAGGACTCGGGACCTGTGGTTACCAGAGACATTCATCCAAAACAAGAAAAACCAACACCAAAGCTACCATCTTGTATTGTTTAATTCAGAAATGAAACATATGTTACATATATATGTATGTTCCTTTATCCGTACTGCACGTGCAGATAAACAGTTTTATTTCATAACAAAACAAGCAAGTGACTGTTACATCATGTGTTTATTACATCATACTATCTCCTCCAGAACCAACCGAGAGAAAAACCTCACTTGACCCCATAGAAATAGCAACATAATAATTAATACATTAAATCACAATACCGTATTATTACATTAATTCATACAGAGTAATTCATTCAAACTCGACATAATTCTTCACGGAACAAAGCCACAAATCCATAAGTCATATATATGTACAGAAATTAATAATAAAAAGGTCCATATATGCTTTTTAAAAAGAAAACCTTTTGTCCCTGGGCTGGAGACGAGAATTCTGGACAAGAGTTATTTTTGTCAGTGTTAACTACAAATGCTTCGCTTATTTTCTCAAGCTTTGAGGAAAAGGAATAAGAGGTTGTCCTTATCCGAACCATGACAAGGAGACGTGAGACTTTTCAATTGAAAACTGGGAAGGAAATTTTTACAGCAAAAAACACAAGGAAACTGTTTATTTGAATAACGATTTTATTTGACCCCCCCCCCCCCCCCCCCCCCCGACACTGATTTCGCAGACTGTGAAATGACCATGACACCGAGCACATATTACACGGTTCTTTCACTTCAGCCTGCTACAACAGGACTTTCTTCTCAACAGGTTTTTTCCCCATCATCCTATAAAAGATTTTTCTTTTCAAAGTGTCCTCCTGCTGACACATGAGTAAGTTAGATCGTGTAGGAGGCGGGATTCCGACCCTACCAGTCAGGTGCCAACCCAGGCTGATAGGGATAAAACAACATGTCATCAGAAAAACTTTCAAAGACAAAGATACTCAATAAAAATTTTCTCCCCACTTGGGAATTGAGCCTGTGTGACAGCGAAACACCTTACCACTATACCACATCCGTCTCAAGCCTAATGACGAAAACAACAAAATAAAGCTGATGGCGAAAACGTCAATAAATCAAATGAAAGCTTCCCAGACCACCACCAACGTAAACCTAAAACCTGGCAGAAGCATGTAGTCTTGTGTCTCCTGTGTTACCCTTTACTACACAAGCCGGCTAGCTTCATCCATTGCTACACAAAGACGAACATGGACATTTTCAGGTCCCAAAATAAATGTTCTTATTTCTACATTATCGTCATTGTATGTAATACACATAATATATATACATAGCGAAATTTGTACATAAGGAAAATAATTCTGCACGCCGCCGCTGATTTCACTGTTTTAGTTTTCGTGTTTTACGGCACTTGCAACACAATAAGGTCATATAAGTGCCAAAGATTAGAGGTGTTACAAGAGAGTAACTAACAAACACAAAAAAGAAGGAGGGGAGATAAAGACAATAGACGTTTGATAGGAAAGAAGGAGCAAACCACACCAGAGCCCCTGCCAACCACCCACGATTTCACAGTGTGCATGTTGGACTGTAAAGGCTGGACTTCTAGCAACATGGAGGAGAGCTGGGGGACGCCAAGAGTGCGAGTGAGTTACACACATGCAGCTCTGTCGCTCACTTTACGGAGGACAACCGGGGAATTCCGAGTGTGCGAGTGAGTTACACACACGCTACTCTGTCGCTCACCCTGGCAGTCTCGGTACACAACACAGCATTGTACAAGAAAGTGTGTTACAAGGTGTATTACTACTGACACACACACAACACATCACTATACAAGTGTGTTACAAGGTGTATTACCACTGACACACGCACAACGCATCACTATAGAAGTGTGTAACAAGGTGTGTCACCACTGACACACACACACACACAACGCATCACTATAGAAGTGTGTAACAAGGTGAGTCACCACTGACACACACACACAACACATCACTCAGTGCATCCACTCTTCCGTATTTTTATATGGAAATCCGTACTTTCCGCCAGCTCTGTACTTGTTCCTCCATCATGATCTACTCCCTCCGTAAAAAACTGCGACAGCGTAAGACTGCCGAAATTCCGAAGCAAAAGATCCGTACTCGCCTTCGTATCGTCTAGTACTCTTATACGTTACGGATATTTACAGTAATTCTCTCGGCAACATGTTATAGAAACCTGCCAGATTGCGCATTTCCTGCAATCGGCCATTATTCCGCTTAGCCCTATGCATTCATTGCGGGTTGGTCGGCAGTACATTTTTCTACCAGCAAATGGATTAAAATCTGGCGAACTTTTTGTGCCAATTTCCTCCTTTCTATCATTCACTCATTCCGTCTGTCTATCTTCGGATTGTTGCGTCGACTCAAAAATCTGCGCGTTCATTAAATAAGTTGACTTGTGATCTTAGACTGAAAATTATTGTCATAGAGAAGCTTTTTTTTTGTAAATTTATCTAGATCTAAAGAAATTATCAATGCAAAGATTCTACAGCACGTGAACGTGATATAAGGGCTGCGATGAAAGAAAGGTGCTTTTTCGGTAGTTCCCACCCCCATTATTTGACCCTAGATCTAGATCTATAGGTTTGATCCGTGGCGAGCTAAGATATCAAAGCTCGCTCTAACAACTGCAAAACATCAAATTATGGTACCCCCACCTTATTTTTATTTGGCCGGCAGAATTTTCCTTACTTTTCAGCTTCAGCTGGTGGAAGCACTGATCACTATACTAATACTATAGAAGTGTGTAACAAAACACGTTGCCACTGACACACACACACACAACACATCCCTATACAAGTGTATAACAAGGCACGTTACCACTGACACACACACAACACATCCCTATACAAGTGTGTAACAAGGTGTGTCACCACTGACACACACACACACACAAAACACATCCCTATACAAGTGTGTAACAGCATGTGTCACCGCTGACACACACATCACTATAGAAGCCAGAGCGCACGGAGCTATCAGAGCTCATTTTCTTGACAAAGTGACAAAAAACTTAAATTTTACAATAAGTAATAAGAAGCAAAAACTAAAATTAAGCAACATTGGAACGGCCCACCTCAAGAATGTAACTGAACATGGTTGCTAGTTTCACCACCTCCAAAAAACCATCAATGAAAAAACAAAATATTCAATAAACTCAGCAAGAGTTGATTGGAAAAACAAAAACTTCAACTTCAATCAACGAAAAAAAAGGAAACCAGCCCTGGTCTAAACCAGTCTGCCACAAACAAAAAGTCAAAGTAATAAAGTAAAGGAAACCAGAACATAGGACAACCCTAATCAGCATGAACTGTCTTTTTAAAAAAAATGTCAAAAAGTTTTGAGTTTCACAGCACTTTTACAACAAAAAGGTTCATACAAGTGCCAAAGATTAGGTGTTACCAGTGCGTAACATACAAACAAAAGGAGGAGAGATGGAAGCAGGACGATAGATCGTGTTTAACAGGAACGAAGTAGCAAACCACAATAGAGCACCTGCCAGCCACCCACGTTTCCTCTCTCTGTTTTCCCCTTTTTGGATGCTGCACATGCTGTCACCCTTTGACTTTTCACCTGGTGCACCATCACACCATGTGTAGAGCAGAGAAAACATTTCGTATGATCAAAGAACAAATGTGAGGCAGCGCTGTGAAATCAGGCGCTCGTCAAAATAACGAAATCGGAGAAAAAGACATTTTCCCGCAAGTCTGGACATTTTTACCGAATTTTATTTTTTGGCTCAACTACTTTTATATCCGTATAATAACACATTTCCAGGTGACCTTTACTGACAAACTTTGATTAAAGACACAAAAGATGTCATTTTTCAGTTTTGAAGGACTCATTAGCTATTGAAGTTACCAATTTTGGCAGCCATTTTTTCCACTAATTTGACCTCTGAAACCAGGCTTCTCCACCTTCTTCAATCGCAAATATCTCGACCTCTATTCAAGTAAGCTACATGGATATTTTTTTCAAATTCATTGAACGCGAAAAAACAATTGAACAAGCTTTAAGATGGTACCAATAACTCCATAATAATACGTCCAAAAATTGACGAGCGCCTGGTTCCACCACTTCATAACACATAGGTCGACAGGCACCAGTTCAGATGTACAAAGCTCAAAATTTGGAAAACTTTCCTGACAAATTTATTGCAGTCTCTTAATCTGTTGTATCGGTTGCGTATTCTCAAGACAACACTTAGTTCAAATTCCAATCTATTCTAAATGTTGAAAAAAGCAAGAAAAGATACATAATGCAGGTACAACTGTTATAAGAATGAAAGTTTTTAAAAATCTTTCTCCAGTGAAGTTTTGCTTTCTGGCTTAGTACATTTTGCCAGCTTGCCGAGGATTTTGTACGACGGGAAGACACGACTGTCACATACTCTGTGAAGACATACGCGGAAACCCTCACTGACAGAATTACTGCACCAGTCAGCCAAAGTGTAAGGCGTGTCGTTATTGCAATGGCTCACAACATGCCAGATATCAACGTTATTGCAATCTGTCAATAAACGAACAATCTGTCAATAAACAGTCCGTCAATAAATGAACAATCTGTCAACACAATCTCTCAATAAACGAACAATCTGTCAATAAACAATTTGTCAATAAACGGACGAGCAAATTGTCCCAGAGAAGGTACAAGCAAATCATCCCCGACACAAGCGTACTTGGTCAGCCAAGGTCAGAGCAATGACCTTGACAGCCACGTGTGCATCCCGGTCCAGACACGACGCCTGTTTCCGTCACACGTGCGGAGAGACGGCCATGTACGGGGGACGGGGAGGAAGTGGCACCCACACCTCCCCTTCACATGGCCGTCGTCATGGCAACAACAGAGTCAGATATCACAAGAGAACCAATCAGCAGGCACCAAAGACAAGAAGAAGACAACCAGGCCTCGCTTGCAAAGCCTGACCTTGACCCCTGACCTTTGTTCACTCCCAGTTCTCCCAGTCATCATCCTGAGAAGACAAACGTTGACACAGTCACATTTCATCCATTGTACGCACAACCAGTGGAACCCTATACCATACTGCATACATAATTAACATATACTTTTGAACTTATGAGCCACACAGTCTCACCCTCCTCCTATACCATACTGCACACACATAATCAACATATACCTTATAACTAATAGGTAACAATATCTCTCCTATACCATACTCCACACATAATAAATATATATACCTTATAACTTATGGGTAGCAATCTAACCCTCCTATACCATACTGCACACACACAATCAACATATACCTTATAACTTATAGATAACAGTCTAACTCTCCTTTACAATACTGCACACATAATAAATATATTACATATACCTTATAACTTATTTATAGGTAACACAGTCTAACCCTCCTTTACAATACTGCACACATATTAAACGTATACCTTAGATAATCAACATATACCTCATAACTTATGGGTTCGCCCCCTCCCACACACACACATTCACGTCATCATTGATGCTATCACCCCCCCCCCCCACACACACACCCAACACACACACACACTCACGTCATCATTGATGTTATCGCCCAGACGTTTGGCGATGTCCTCGGCCGCCTTAAGGTCCTCCTCCGTGAGCTCAAGGTCAAAGTCCTGGTCCCACTCGTCCTCCAGGCCTAGATCTGGCACAAGATGGAGGAAGTCGGGCTTAGCGGTGCACAGCGATAGATCAAACCCCTCATCTGAGCACATTTACAGGAGAGGGCGAGAGAGAGAGAGAGAGAGAGAGAGAGAGAGAGAGAGAGAGAGAGAGAGAGACAGACAGACAGACAGACAGACAGAGAAACAGACGGAGAGACAGACAGAGAGAGAGACAGAAAGACAGACAGAGACAGAGAGAGACAGTGAGAGAGAAAGACAGAGTGAGAGAGAAAGACAGAGTGAGACAGAGAGAGACAGACAGATTGACAGACATTGAAGGGATAAGAGCATGGATAAATTAAAAAAAAAATTAATATAGACGTTTTTTTAAAATGCCCCATCAATGAGATACAAAATGACCAGGAAGGGATGCGTTGCACGAAATTTAAAAGGTTGGATGTATTACACAAAATTAACAACGTTGGGTGTGTTATTGGATGTGTTACAGGAAATTAACAAAGTTGGACGTGTTATAGGAAATTAACAAAGTTGGACGTGTTACAGGAAATTAACAAAGTTGGATGTGTTATAGGAAATTAACAAGGTCGGATGTGTTACACAAAATTAATGAGGAAGCAGCGGATTCACAAAGCAATGCGAGATGGACAGGAGGAATAGACACAACACGTGAAGGTAACCACAACACAGCAAGTTGACCACACAAACACATACACACAGTCGGACAAGCAGCAAAAAGTATAAACAAAAAATCATGGCAGTATTCAGAACAATGTAATTAGGATTCAGAATTGAAAAAGACGAAAAATTAATATTGTAAATTAAGCAATGGCATTCGATTTGATAATGGAACACACAGTTGACAGCGCGTGTATGACAAAATTAAAGAAAGGTTGAAAAATAAACAAAAAAGAGGGAAAGAAAATAAATGTCAAATGCCATCCACGTGAAATGTGTTTGGTCATACACAAATGGCCGGTGTTATCAGCCACACAGGGGGAGATTGTCAGAAGATTGTTGTCCGCAGACAGACAAAGAACAAACACAAAATGTCAGCACAATTATTGACCCGAGATAGACAAAGAACCAACAATTATTGACCCGAGATAGACAAGATACAAACAATTATTGACCCGAGATAGACAAAGAACCAACAATTATTGACCCGACATAGACAAAGAACAAACAATTATTGACCCGAGATAGACAAAGAACCAACAATTATTGACCCGACATAGACAAAGAACAAACAATTATTGACCCGACATAGACAAAGAACCAACAATTATTGACCCGACATAGACAAAGAACCAACAATTATTGACCCGAGATAGACAAAGAACCAACAATTATAGACCAGAGATAGACAAAGAACAAACAATTATTGACCAGAGATAGACAAAGTCCGGAGATAGACAAAGAACAAACACGAAATGTTAGCAAAAGAAGTGTGGGGGAGTGAGCGGGGGAGGGGAGGTGGGGGGTTAAAAGCAAAACAGCGTGTCATCAAATCAGGGCAGCAAGCAGTGGTCAGCAGCCAAAAAGGAAACGGAGGGGAGAGAAAAGAAAAACCAAACGGTTCCATCACCAAGCAGGAGAGTGATACACCAAGGTGAGTGGATGAACAATAGATGACCGTCGGTAAGCCAAAGGTCCATCGCACAGTGTAGACCAGAGGTACAGACGAGCCGCATGCAAACAGAACAGTCACACGAGTGGAATAGTCACATGAGCGAAACAGCCCACGCATGTGAGGTGTCAACGGAACAGGAAAAAAAAAATAACAACAGTATATTGTTAGTAAGCAAAACAAAACAAAAATTATATGTTCAACAAAACGTCAACAACTGTTACGATGTACTCAACCTAAAATTTTGATTTTTTGCATAATTTCAGAATTTGTTTTGCATAAAACGACAGGGACAGCTATAGGAGAAGTTTGGTTTCATTGGCGTGTATATTTATTTGGTCATAGAGAAAACTCTACCTGACTTTAAAAGAAAATGAACAAGGGGCAAAAACTTAACCTTCGATTGTCTCAAAACAGTATTTTTCGGGATAGCCCACTTGTCCTTAAGAGCGATCAAGTATAGAAAAAAGCACGGAAAAATACATAATGTAAGTGTAAGAACAATCATAAAAAGAATAAAGTTCTTTCTTTTTCTCTAGCCTATACTATAAAATTTTGCTGCTTTGGCTTGGTACATTTGTACAGGTTGCCCACCAAGAGCTCCCACATCCCGACAGAGAGACATAAAAGACAGTTGAGACAGAGATACATAAAAGACAGTGAGACAGAGATACATTAAAGACAGTTGAGACAGAGAGACATTAAAGACAGTTGAGACAGAGATACATTAAAGACAGTTGAGACAGAGAGACATTAAAGACAGTGAGACAGAGATACATTAAAGACAGCTGAGACAGAGATACATTAAAGACAGTTGAGACAGAGATACATTAAAGACAGCTGAGACAGAGAGACATCAAAGACAGTTGAGATAGAGAGATATCAAAGACAGCTGAGGGAGAAATCAAAATTATTTGAGAGAAAAATCAAAGACAGATGAGAGAGATATCAAAATTATTTGAGAGAGGAATCGCAACTCCAACAAAACAAACTTGGAAATGAAGCTGACCATATCCAGAGAATAACAAAGGAGGGCCAACGGGTCAAAAACTGTGACAGTGTGAGAGTCAGTGAGTCAGTGATGGTGTGAGACAGTGAGTCAGTGTGTCAGTGAGTCAGTATTTCCACAAACCAAAAACAGAACAAGGTATAACACTTACTGTGACCACAAGCTGAGACGATGTGACAGGGAACAGAGAAGAGAGTAATGTTTCAACATTTCAGAATTTGGTCCATGCTTCTGTTGTCTACAAAGCATCTCTCTCATAAACAAAGAAAGAATTACAATTTGATTTTTTTCTTTTAACTTGTAAGCCTTCCCAGTATGCTCGAGTCCAGAAGACTCAGCTATTGTTCTTACTTATCTTACACCGACGACTCTGCCCTTGGCCAGACGGTCAGAAGTACCACCTCCATAATCTAGAACGTTTATACCATTACAGTTTCTTAAACCTATCAGTACGTCGTGTCTTACTATCGTATCCATACGTTGTGGGGAACTCTGTGGCACCACTTTCCAAAGAGGAAATTTACTCGTTAATCCGATCTGTACGCTTTGCATAAGCAGTCTGTCAAAATGATTTTTGAGAAATACTGAAAGTTTAAAAGAGACCTTCGTACTAGAAGTATTCTAAAATGTGAAGAATACAACCCCGGGGTACAAAATGACCCCAGGGCGTACAGATAGGGGTAACCTGTGGTATCTGTTGCTCAAGGAATAATTTTAAAAAATTCAAATTCAAAATATTGAAGGGAAAAAAAAAGTGAAAAAGCACATAAAAGAAGAGATACATTTTTTTCAACGACTGAAACAGCTTTCTCCTCCTCTGTCCTGAAACATTTGCTTTCTGGGCTCAGAACAATTGAACGGCTCACTGCTGATATGTTGCTAAAAGACAACAAACTACACTGCGAGTGTGCAAGGGTATTCGCCGATATGTTGCTTAAACTTAGAGACAACAAAATACATTGAAAGTCAGTGAGGGTATACGCTGATATGTTGCTATTAAACAACAAACTACATTGAGAATCTGTGAGGGTATTCGCCGATATGTTGCTATAAGACAACAAACAACACTGCGAGTGTGCAAGGGTATTCGCTGACATGTTGATATAAGACAGCAAAAAGCACTCTGAGTCTGTTATGGTATTCGCTGATGTGTTGCTATTAGAGCTGGGCGGCTACATTCCCGATTATTGAAAGCTAGGAATCGTAGGAATCGACTCTGAATCCAATTACTTTCTAATTATGTGATTTTTTCCAGTTGTTACTTGGTAGGCTTTGAACAGCTTCAGGATTTAGGATAACCTTGATTTCGAAACACTACGAAGCATCAACTTTTATTTTAAAAAAATAAAGTCTACTAAAAAAGGAGAAAATTTTTGTGATAAAAGTAACTGACAACCGTTGGTTTACGTAAAAAGGGGTCGGAACTTTTCTTCCGTAGCTTTAATTGCGGGAATTGGCTCCGGAATCGATTTTTCGTCCAGCTCTAGTTGCTACAAGACAGCAAAAAAAACACTGAGAGTCTGCGAAGGTATTCGCTGATATGTTGCCATGGTATAAGACAACAAACTACATTGAGAATCTGTGAGGGTATTCGCTGATATGTTGCAATAAGACAACACACTACATTGAGAATCTGCGAGCAAACTAAACTGCATGTGTGCCAGGGTATTCACTGACGCCCGACTCCATCAAGCAAATGTCGCTATACATATCTGTTGTCTCGGTAACCCGAACAACAGGGAACATTTTGTCATGGATTCGAACCTTGTCAGGGGCCCGATGTTGTGTCCTTGGAAAAGACACTTATGAATTTTCCTCCCATCACATAAGCGGGAATCGGGTAGCCAGCTATGGACAGCAAAAGATCTCGTCAGTTTGTTAGTGTTTGAGTGCTTAATGGGCTGCTTGCACGGTATTTTTCCCGGGAAGCTGATAATGTTTCTGAGAGTGTTAGGGTCTGCTGGGGTAATAATACAGATTGCAAAGCACAAAGAGCATGCTGTAGAGCGGGGATATGCACTATACAACAACTGCTGTTTATTATCATTGGTAAACCGAACATGGTAACAATTTAACGCTCTAAAGTTGACAAGTAAGGACATGCTGGGTCTAGAGTCAACACAAACCACTAAGAAAATATTGCAACGTCTTCCTTCTCTTCCTACAGGGAAGAACCACCCCCCCCCCCCATAAAAAAAAATATTAAAAATTAAAATGTTAAGACAGGCAACTCTCTTTTGCAAGCTCCAGATCTAGAACAGACATCAGCGATCATGACTCTCCACTTCCTCCTGTATTCAGTGACCCTCAGTAATGTTGCAATATCCAGACTATTTCTAGTCGCCCAAAGGTTTGGGTTTTAGTTTCAGTTTTAGTTTATAGCACTTGTAGCACTAAATATTACGTCACATAAGCACCGAGATTAGAAGTGTTTTTAGAGAGTAACATGCAGTGAAAAGGAGAAGAGACAAGGATGACAGAGGGTGGATAGGAAACCACAGCAGAGCACCCGCCAACCGCCCACACTGTACTGTACTTGTTCAGCTTTACAGAAAAAGGTCTCGTCTCATGCACTGCTCTCATCACAAAAAACAAACAATACAGACGCCTGACCCACCTTTCGTGCCGCTAGACTCGGACGACGGGCTCCCGCGATCGCCCACGACCACCATGTCACCCTTGACCTTCATAGCCATCTGCTCAGCCACATCCTGGTCGGACAAGGGCGCGGCAATCGACGACACAGCCCCCGAGCCACCTTCCTTTCCAGACACCCCAGCCGCCGCCGGCTCCACTTGGCTCTCCATCTTCTGTCCGCTCTCCTCTCCGCTCTGTGGCACGCCTGTGTCAACATCCGTCAACTGATGCCTTTTCTCATCTTCCGCAACCTTTGTGGTAGGAGTGTCAGCGGGTTTGGGGGGTGGGGCAGTAGGCGTGTCAGCGGGTTTGGGGGGTGGGGCAGTAGGAGTGTCAGTGGGTTTGGGGGGTGGGGCAGTAGGCGTTTCAGTGGGTTTGGGTGGTGGGACAGTTGGCGAGTCAGCGGGTTTGGGGGGTGCGGTAGAATTCTCCGCAGAACTTGGCCCCGGCTGCTGTACTGAAGGGGCCGAGGTGGCAGGTGGAGACTTCTCCTCTTCCGTCTGCCCCACATGTCGGACAGCTGCTGCCACCACCGAGGCTGAGGGCGTGACCTCTGACCCGACCTCTGGCTCGGCACTACTTCTCTCCCCCTGGGGTCCCACAGATGAGGTCAACACGTCGGCAGCACCACAGGCCGCCCCGTCCGCCGAGACAGGGGCAGTAACTCTCACCTCTGCCGACGAGACGTCCCCACCTGCGGCTGCGGCACACACAGAGACCACTTCCTGTTGTACGACGGACACATCTGGCGACCGCTCGCCTCGCTGAGTGCTTGCTGAGGACGTCGTTGAGGAGGAAGAGCCCGAGTCTGTGTCCTTGAGAGGTGAAGGTCGCTGGGGTGAGGGGGCAGCACTGGCCGTGTCTCTGTCCTGAGGGATATGCAGACTCCAGAGGTCAGAAGTCGCCATCTGAGAGGTGGCCACCGATTCGGAGACACCGAGAGCGTCCGAATCATTCTTGGAAGTAGAACAGGAGTCCTCCTTATCTTCAGCAGACGGACAACTTTCAGGGGCCGGCAACTCTTTCTCCTGAACTCCCTGCTGTTCTGACCTCACCGACTCAGCTGTCGAAGGACGAGCAGTTCCGTTATCTCCCGCGAGCCTGTCACTGGCCGGCTCCTCACGACCCTCAACGCAGTCTGACCCTGCCAAATCCCCAGGACTCTCGAGAGAAACCTGGGAAGTGTCCCTGGTCTCCACGGGCTGTACAACTTCCTCTGGCACGGGACCCACACTGGCGACGACGGTAGGTGTGGCCTTGAGGGTTGCTGCAGCTATGGCAGCGTCCGCGGGCGAGGCAGCCTGCGACTGAGGGGGTCGGGCAAGTTTCTCCCAGTCACTATGATTACCATCATCCTCTTCCCCACCGCTCCAGTCGTCATCTGGCACAGAAACAGCAACAGTTTGAGTGAAAAGGAGCACATTGATACAATAACAGAGTCATATTGCTTCAATCTCTAATTTCTGACATTCCCAGTACAAATATTATGTTCTCTCAGTATCTATTACGTTCTCTCAGTATCGTTTATTCATGCTGTTCTGTTCTGTAACAATTTATGACAGTGTGATGTCATCAATGTGTACGAGGGAGAGACAGAGACAGAGTGAGAGAGAGAGAGAGAGAGAGAAAGAGGATTACTATTGCAGCTGTGCGCTGCATATGTTCTTTATATTATTGTACAGTGCATGGAGCACTTCTTTATGGAAATGCGCTATATAAATGCAATTTATTATCATTTCAATTATTATGTAGTGCAGGGACAAAGCACGACAGATAGATACAACAGAGGGAAAAAAAAGAAGTGGGACCACTCTCCTGAGAACTGTTATTTCCGGGGTGCCTTGAGAGTAAAGCAGACTTTGTGCTGTTGAGGCTAGAGAGGTGAGCAGAGTAAGCCTGATTCCCCGTTTTGACTTCTTGGTTGACATCCACCCCTTGGCGCTCATATGACCTTATGCAGTTGCGAACGCAGTAAAACCTAACTAAAGCAAACAGAATAAAACAAGAAGTGGCACCCTCCAACCACCCAGGCAGGAAGAGAATAACCACATAATCACAACGAATGTGCGTCTATGGTAGGTCAAAGAGTCAGAAATCTTTTACTTTCTTTTTAAATTTAGGCATTCTTACACCCCTAACGACACAATTCAGATCGTTTAAGATGTTGGCTTCCAACCATGCCTGTCAGGGCCAAACCGGGCTGAGAGTTTCAGTGGGTAAGAATTTTACGGCACTTGCAACACAATAAGGTAATATTAGTGCCGAAGATTAGAGGTGTTACAAGAGAGTAACAAACATAAAAAAGGAGGAGAGACAAAGACGATAGTTATTTGATAGGAAAGAAGGAGCAAACCACGCCACAGCACCTGCCAACTACCGTCCCCGGGCTGAGAGGGATACAACATCCCAGCAGCAAGACTGAGATACTCGATACAAATTTCTCCCCACTCGGGAATCAAAACTCAGGTTTCCTGCATGCGATAGCGAAGCGCCCAACCACTACACCACAAACGCCCATCTATATGATCACAACGCTTCTACGAATAGAGGCAGAGAGATTTGCATACATTTCTTATTCTATGTGTACAAAACACAAAAACATGTTTGTTCGTTTGAGTGAACAGAAGTACATCAATATAATATAGTCAAATCTCGTCATACTGCTGCCCCAACCCCCCAACAGCAGACAGTACAGCAAACAGCCACCAGCAGACAGTACAGCAAACAGCCACCAGCAGACAGTACAGCAAACAGCCACCAGCAGACAGTACAGCAAACAGCCAACAGCAGACAGTACAGCAAACAGCCAACAGCAGACAGTACAGCAAACAGCGAACAGCAGACAGTACAGCCAACAACAGACAGTACAGCCAACAACAGACAGTACAGCCAACAGCAGACAGTACAGCAAACAGCAGACAGTACAGCAAACAGCCAACAACAGACAGTTCAGCCAACAACAGACAGTACAGCCAACAGCAGACAGTACAACCAACAACAGACGGTACAGCCAACACCAGACAGTACAGCCAACAACAGACAGTACAGCCAACAGCAGACAGTACAGCAAACAGCAAACAGCTTCTATCCGACAGTACCGTCCCATCCAAGCGAGTCCCCCCTGGCCTGGTCGGCCCGCAGCATGAGCGCCCTCTTTCTGGCCTCGTCCACCTCCAGCTGGTGCACGCGGAAGAAATATCTCTGCCAGAACTCCAGGTGGGACACTTCCCCGGGGACCTGCGTGTGTGTATGGTGGTAGTGGTGGGGGGGGGGGGGGGGGAGGGAGGAGACACACACAAACACGACCGTCAGCATGGCCGGATTTCTCCGATGAAGGTCACGCAACAGTTTACAGTTAACTTAGAGAACAGCACTGAGCAGAAGCCAGAACAATTTTTCCCAGGCGGTACACAACCTATACAAAATCAAGCTGACCAGTTTTTATCCTGACTGTGAAAGAAGCAAGCTAGACATTTGACACTATTAACGTGACATCTCTACATAGTCAACCTGCAAATTGACACACTTTTGCCATTTTTGTTTGACCTTCAGAAGTGTTTGAGCATAATATGACCTGGAGGGCGCGTTTAACCATTCCTCCTCTGCAGATATAGTATAGTATCTTCATCATATATAGTATCTTCGTCATATATAGTATCTTCGTCATATATAGTATCTTTGTCATAACTAGTATCTTCATCATATGTGCGTGTGCCTAAATAAAGGTACGAAAAGTCGGATTTTGACCATTTTGAGTTAAGGGTTGTACCTTATAGGAAATTCAATGCTGAACACAATGTTTTTAATTTTTTTTTAGATATCTCAAGTAGTTTTTGAGATATTGCACATTTTGTGAGGTAGGGTATAAAGATCTAATTTTGAAAAAATTAGCTTTTTAGTTTAGGACACATACAAACTTTTAAATACCCTAGTCTCAAAAGTATTCAAAATAAAATGCGTAGAAGTCAAATCAATGAAAACCCATTTAACACATTGTTGAAAAAATGGTGGCACTATCATTTTTTAAAGGAAACACTTTTAGGTCTGCAGGTCAAAAAAGTGATTTTTTGTCATTATCGGCCTGTAGCTAAAAACGGTCAGTGGCGACTTTTGGTACCTTTCTATAGGCACACACACATATATAGTATCTTCAACATAATAATATATAGTATCTTCATCATTACGGAAATGCTGTCCTTCCAGCATGTTTTCTTTTTAGATGTAGGAAAAGGTCAGAGGGTGAACAAGGAGGGTGAGGGAGAATTCCCTCGCAACCCGGCTTAGATTGTCAGAGCTGCCTTGTCGTGTGGCGGGAGAAACTGTCGTCCCAACTTCCCTTGTATTCAAGAGCTACTCTCCTAACATGGTTCCTGCCATGAACTCCCCACCAAATTCAAGGATATTTCTAAGAGATTTCAAGAAGAACTTTTTAAAATTCAAAGAGATTTGGTCAAGAAATTCATGCCGAAAGCTTATTTCTCATAGGCCTACAATTGTCCAAAGAAATCGTAGTTTCAGTTTTCAGACAAAATTTTTTCTCATGTCTAATCCAGCAATATTCAAAGAGTTTTCAAGGAGGTTCCTAAAATTCAAGGAATGTAAACTCAAAAGTGCTCCCAAGTTCTAAAAGTGCTCCCAAGTTCTCAACACTCACTGGATTTTCCAACAACTGCACAAGCAGCGCTCCAGAAAGATAGAAATCACAAACTTTAAGTTTGACAGTTTACGACAATACTTTCATGGTCCGGGTAAAGACTTATTCAACATCACTCCAGCAATATCCCATAAATGACTTTTTCTATCTCAAGCCCTCATGTAAACTGAAACCGGTATTTGTTGACTGGTTCGTTCTCACCAAAGGTCCTGTCAGGACTATGAAAACCCACCAACCTAGAACCTGCACCAATCTCCACAGCATAAAGCAAACATTTAAAAAATAATAATAATAATAATGTATGTTTTTTAAAATTTTTTAAAAGGTGGGCTTCCCACCCTCCTTGTCAGGTCCAGCCCAGGCTAAGAGGGATTCAGCATTCCAGCAGAAAGATGAAGATGCTCGATAAATATCAATATTCTCCTCACGCAGAAATCACACTCAGGTCTCCTGTGTGTGACAGCAAAAAGCCTAACTGCTACACCACAGACACTGATACATATAAAGAAGAGATATAAAAAATGTACAAAGTACTGATGAATCTGACCCATGGCCTACGACTTCTACAAGACAAGACCATCTATAACCTCTGACCTCTACATGACAAGGTCAACCTCTGACCTCTACAAGACAAAGTGTCCGTGGCCTAGTGGTTAGGCTCTCAGACTCGCAATCACGTTGTAGGTTCGAATCCTGTCAGGTGCCTGACGGTGGGTCCTTGAAAAAGACACTTTCTACCAATATTCCTTACATCACCCAGCTATGGACAGTGAAAGATCTCAGACTGTTATTGTCTGAGCCCTTGCAATCGACTTCTTGCACTGTATGCTCTTAGATAGCTGAGAGTGTTTCTGAGAGTTCAAAGGTCTGCTAGGAAAGAACAGTTATAAAGCACATAGAGCTTGCTGTAGAGTGTGGACATGAACTATACAGAAATGCAGTTGTAACTATCAACCTCTAACCTGTACACCACAAAATCAAGCTCTGACCTCTCCCCTCCCCCACCCCGGAATGAAAGACCTACCAGTTTGGTATACAGGGCTCGAACCTCCACCTTGGACACCAGAAGCTCTGAGATCTGGCCCTTGTGAACGTCAAGGTCGAAGCTCTCCTGCCACATGGCAAACTGTTCGGGCGGGCAGCGTGGGGGGTCAATGTACGTGCCGGCATCCAGCTGAAGGGCATGTAACCGAGCCTAGGTGTGAGAAAAAAAACAACAGAATTCTTTTCATGTACGTGTTTTTACAATTTTACATCGACACAATTTACATCATTTAGGAGGCGGACTTCTCACCTGCCTGCGAGGATGAACCCGGGTTGAGAGGGATACAACATCCCAGGAGAAAGACAGAGATACTCGAAACAAATTCTCTGCACTCCGGTCTCCTGTGAGAGACAGCAAAGACGGCAAAGTGCCTAACCGCTACAGAACAGATGCCCAGTCCAAGTACTCTTCTGGCTGCTCAGGGAAAAGTAAGATGGACAGGAGGATGTAAGATTGACAGAACAAATAAAAAGGAAAGAAATAAAGTAAGACTTATCAGTGGCACCCTCCAACCATCCATGGCATGTACAGTCAAACCTGCTTTACGGTCTACCTTTCCAAGACAATCACCGATGCAAACAACCATCTCCTCCCCCCCCCCCCACATGCATTTTTTCTCTTCTATGACACTATCCAAGATTTCTACCTGTCTAAAACGACAACTTTTGTTTCTCGAACAATTTTGCCAGTATGAATAGGCTAAAGAGAAAGAGACAAGAACTGCAGGTTCCTGGTACCTTTCCCCTGTCGTACAAGCCACTGCCGTCTGCCGCCACTTTCATGGGGACGTACTCATCATCCTCATCAGGGGGGATCACCAGAACCTTGGAGATGTTGTCCAGGAAAGAGGTCAGGCCGGCCTTCACCTTGCTTGTAGCCTGGGCTGTATTTTCCCTCTGAAATAAACACGGGTGACATGTGTGATGAGTCGAGGGGCAAGTGACATACACGTTCACACGGTCTGCACAACATTTGATTGAGTTTCGAGTTAGTTTTATAGTGCGGTCAAAAATTCGAGCCGCAACTTATCCTCAAATATCTCTTTAACGGGTGAATCAATGTCACCCATACTTTGCACAGCAGTTTGAGTCAATTTGTCTTAATTCAATCCTATTCTTCCACAATTGAGGCTAGATTAAAAAACTTTTCTCCATAAATGTATATAAAACATAATACATCTCCGTCATGTGGAAAATATGATTGTTCACAGCAATTTTCGCTTCTCACACACATTCTGTCATAACACAACGTCATAGCTCATCAATGATACTTTTTAGTCCCAGAAAAAAGTGAAATTTAGAGCTTTCCAGAGGTTAAAAATGATATTTTCCCATTGCCATTATTCAATTTGTCATTGCACCACTGGCAAAGTAGGCCAATCACCAAGCCTGTACTCTAACTTGCTGCACTCTACTTTTCCTTCATTTACGCGCTCAACTGTCCAATGCCAAAACGTCAAAGCACCACTTCCACTTATTCTTTTATATTTTAGCACCAGTTTCTTGCACTGCAGCCTTATCCTGAAGACATAGAATCCTCATACCGCTATTGACAAATTCTATAGATTTAGTCAGATTTGATCAGGTTTTGTTCTGATACCAATTTTCTTTCTACATTCACAATTCAGTTTTCTAGATAAATGCAATAAATTTTTCAGCCGCAGCAAAAACCTAAAGATAGACAGAAAAAATGGATGAATGAAAGGAAGGAGAAAGATTACCTATCGCGAGTACCCAGATTTTAGCCGATTTGTAAGTGAAAATCTATTGCCGACCGAACTGCACAGAGGTGTGAAATGTGCAACCTGGCAGTTTCTACTACATGTGTCCAACTTCCTGCTGAGAGTTACCGTAAATATCCAACAGGTTACGGAGGCATGCATTAAGTACTGATCCTTTGCTACGGAATGCCGATAAGCTCATTTTTAAATACTGTCTTCTCTTTCTATTTTTCTTCAACATATGGAGTTGATATGACAATGCGGAAAGTACGAGACTTTCGGAATGTGTGCGGATTTTCGCAAAAACAAGGAAGATTAGAAGCTGTCCAGAATGGGCTTTTTTTTTTTCTTTTAATCTCGGCACCCATTGCAAATCCGGTAGTTATGACACTTTTATCGGTATGGTGGTAGAACAGGTCGAAATCCGGTCACTACAGGAAAAATCGGTAGATTTAGGCAGCCCTGTACAAGTGACCACCGAATTTTCTTCTTATTTTCAGTTTAGAGCACTTGCTCAAATAGAAGGAAAAAAATTGTGGATTTTCTCCTTTTTCAGTTTGACACTGTTTGCTGTTTTTAGATTAACCATGTTCAGCTTCAGCGGAATGTAAACAACCACATCAAAGACTTACATTGAGGGAATCTTTAAGCTGGGAGCTCGTCTTTTCCACAACTTTCTCCGTCTCTTTCTGCATCGTACAAGTGAATTCTGCCAAGTCATTCTTCACAAACTCCAGTGCCGAAGTAGACTGTAAAGAAATTGGGGGGGGGGGGGATTAATTCGACAGTTAATTTATACTCAACACCAATGAAACCCTAAAATCAAAAACAACTTTTATATTTCATAAGATTAGTTTGCAATTCTTTAAAAAAATTCTTCTGTTGAACTTCCTGCAGACAAATCTAAGATTTGCTATCACTGAAAACATCCACTATTTCCCCAGCAAACTCACACTTTTCCTTCAGTGCAAGAAACAATACAATTAGGAAGAAAATGTCGAACAAAGCTGTATATTATCATCACTGCCGACCGCCTTAGCAAAATGTTGTTTTCGCTACTTCAGGGCCGCCCACCAACAAACATATCTGTGACGCGAGCTGACAAAATGAATTACTTCTCGGATTCTAACCTTAAGGAAATAGACACATCACGCTTGCAGGTGAAGTTTTTACAATTTATAAGTATGAAATAATAAAAGACGGGTTATAGTTAAAGAATATGGCATCAATAGAAAATCTACAAATTTGATCCTAATGTCGATTTTTGGCCAATATCTCCATTTGTGGATTGCGAGAAGTAACTCATTTTGTCAGCACACCACACATATATGTTTTAGTAATCAACAACTAGAAAATTAGTAATCTGGCTCAAAAATTTGTAAACTGGCCAATGACAGTCTTCCTTACTCGGGTATAGGGGACAGGGGTTATAAAAGTCATTAGGCGTATAAATGTTATGTAAACAAAGGCGTGAAAAAAAAAAGAGGTCTGGCCGACTTGTCATCATCTAGTTTATTAATTTACGAAATAAAAGGGCGCTGTAGGGGACCGGGGTTGTAAATGCTTGCAAAAGCAAAAGAAACCTTTGAAACTACAGAGTATGCCACAAGCCTTTGAACCTGATTGTGTATCACAACACACCATGCCACGCACCCACCCTAGCGAGTTTTAACATGGTATCAAGCTTCAAACTATGATCACTTTTTTTAAAGATTCTCACTGGTCTAGGCTGTCACCCAAAACACAGGTGGGGGCAAGAATTTTCAAACACCTTGTCAACATCCTAATGTTTGCCTTAGTCTAATGTTTTTCTAAGGGTAAAGTTGCACTGAGCGACTACTAGGGTTCAGTGCAAAGAAGATGTTAAAGTTAGACAGCTGCACGTGACGTAATGACTTAGACTGTCTGGGTCTGGTAGTTTTTCTCTCCGTATTCACCAGGAAGTGGTTTGTGGTAGCCGAAATTTTTAAAAATTGGAATACAATCATATTTTTGTACAACTGAATAGAAATCGTAACGATTCCACCAGATTCAAAATGATGGGCAGCCCTGCTACTTTTGAGATAAGGAAAAAAAGTTGTTTAACTAGACTAATTATTATCTAATACTGGTGAAACTGGCCATGCATGTTTCTTTTGTGACTGCCAGCGTATATATATTCGCTTTGATTTTATCAAAATGTAGAGATAGATATAGTACCACCAAAAAAAAAAAGGAAAGGCTAGTTGCATTTGGCATAACTCACAGTTTTTCAGTGACGAATGCTCAAAGAATGTCCAATTCAGCAGACTCATCAAATCTTCGTACATCTCTGGACCGTGTTATTGACTCGTACATGATCATTTCTCAAAAATTTTCCAAAGGCTATTTTAACCACAAAGGTTTATTAATATATTTACTAATTGCCTTTGCTGCCCACTTTATAAAGAGAGAAAGGCGGGGAAAGTAAGTCTCTCAGATATTATATTAGATAAGAACACGATCTACTCAAAGACACCAAATTAAAACATACAACTCAAAATCGTTTCGATGTATACAAAACTACTTACTTTCTCTTTTGCTGTTTGCATCCACCCCCCTAGCCAGCTCTCCCAGCTGTTATCAGCTGGACTCTGCTCTTTTCCTCTGTAACACAACAAACAACAACTCATGAACATTAAACTTTCTTCAGTCCGTCTTTCTAATTAATCACACTTTCTTACTCAAGGAAAGATCAGCTTTAAAAAGAAGGAGGAAACAATGTTCAAGTTGACAAACGCTCTACGTTATTGCATGTTTTTTTGGTTTTTCAAACTTTTAAACATGTAAATACAATGGGTGGTCGGGTTTATTTCTTTTCATTTTCAAGTAGAGAAGTAAACCGACTTTCACACACATGATTAGTTGATAGATCATCATGAAAATCCAAACACATAATTTAACAAACATCGTCACTGGCACAAGTAAAGAAAAACATTCACTAAGTTACTTTCTTGAACAATATTGGCTCATTCCTACTAAGATACACCATTGCCTAAATTTGGGAGCATCAAACAGTAAAATAAAAGGTACTTATCGAATTATGTTTTAGAGCGGTTCTCTTTTGGTGTCTAAATTAAAGATTCCAAGCCTCTCACAATGTACTACAACCTCTGACTCAGTAACCATTTCACACAAAAAAATAATGTTGTACACACACATTACTGATCCATACCGTGCTTTCACAAAATGAAAAATGTTTGAAGATTGAAAGACATGTTAGAGTTAGGTCGAATGAAGCCACAGTTGTAGGCTAACTCGTAAAATAATTTTAAGTCTTCTTTTTTTTTTTTGGTCTCCGAAGAATTGGTCATGATAAACTGCTTGGTGACTATAAATCCTTTAGCAGGTCCCAATTTTGATCATCTTCAAGTTAAAATTAGGGGGTTGAGGCCCAATTTCCACTTAACTGTATTTCATTCACAGTGCTCATGGTTACAAGCAAATTATTTGAAGTCAACGAGGGTTCTTATTCTCTGTTTTATAAGTCATCCTGTTTTATACTTCCATCTAGTTAAATTGTTCTGCCTGCATTGTTGTGCAGTCACTCCAAAGGCAATCCCCTTCTCCAGCTTGCAAGCAAGCACCTAATTTGTAAACCAGAATTTAGATTTCAAAAAGTAAAGGTACGCCAAGGAAAATTCAAAAGGCCACCGCTATTCTCACCCGTGGTGAACCTTTTGGTTCTCACCCAGAGTGCGTTTACCGTGATAGCCTCTAGAGGCCAACCAGTGTAGTGTTCACCGTGAACCACAGAATTCTACATTGTGATAACAGAAGGGTAGAATTCTGTGCCGTGAACAAACGTTCCAGCGCTCTTAGTGTTGAAAGCATGTAATTTTGTCTGTGGGCAGTGAGGGAGAAAGAGGGAGGGGGGGGGGGAGGGAGAGAGAGAGAGAGAGACAGAGAAAGATGAGTAGCGTGAGAACTTCCGGGCAAAAGAAAATGGCGACCCGCATAGTTCGGCTTGATTGGAAAAGTTAAATAGCCGTAGCATCTTTGTAGACGACCAAATTAATTTACTTTTAAAAGTGTTCTAAAATCATTTTTTCTTTGTTTTTGTCAATTTGATTGTCCACACCGATAGACAGTATTAAGAAGAAGACAGAGAGAGAGAGAGATAGAGAAAGAGGAGGAGTAGATCTTGCGAGAACTGGCGGGCAAAACAAAATGGCGACCCGCGTGTAGTTTGGCTCCATCATCTTTATAGACAAAATTATTAGCACTTTTGTGCTATAACATAATTTTTTCTTTGCTTTTGCTAATTTGATCTTCCACACTGATAGACAGTATTCCGAAATTAGGAAAAACAGGTCATGTTTCACACCTGGTGAGAATAGCCAAAGTAGCCAAAGCTGGCATGTACCCAGGATGAGAGGTCGATCGTACTTTTATTCTCACCCCGGGTGAGGGTAGTCATTTCAAAAGGAAAAACAGTCATAAAAGCAGTAAGATTTAGGTGGCTGGTTTATTGAATTTGTCATCCCAAATCCGTTATTTAATCATTAATCACGAGTCTCCAAGTCCAGACCCAGTGGACTGTGACTGTGTGTGGGGCCTTCATCTTCAGTCATCAGCCTAACCTTCCTCCTATTCCTTTTTTGAATTAGATCTACGTAAGTGTACTTAGTAAACTTGAAATATATCTACAAACTAATGCGGGTAAATGGTTTACGAAAAGAAAAAAATGACGTTTATTTGTTGGACACAGGGTCAAGTAAATGATACAAGAGACGTTTGAGATTCAGGTGATGTCATCCCCTTACCCGTCCGCCATTGTTGTTTGTTATTATTTTGGTCCAGCGTTTTCAGCTCCCAGACTTTTCTGCAGAACCTGAATAGAGACAAGGGAAGTAACTCATTAATACCTGATATGAATGTGCAGATTGAGCTGATAGGCTAGCTGGTGCTTTTACGGTCTCTGGGCAAATGGCTCACACTGTTTGAGTGACAGTGAGAAAAATAGAGTGACTTTGAGAAAACGGCTCAATTGATGTGTAGGCTAAGTAAAGAGAGAAGTATACTGACATAAATTTAATAAAATCAACGGTCATGGTTTCACGAAACGATTAATCGTATCAGATTCGTTGCAGTTATGTACAAGAACTTTCACTTTCATCGAACTGCATAGTAATACGGTTTACATGTTCCAATTATTGTGCAATTCTCATTCGTGCACTCTTACTTCACAAAAGAAAGAAACAAAACAAGGCTAATTTGGACCCCCCCCCCCCCCCAAAAAAAAAAAAAAAAAAGTTTCTAAAGCGAAATATATTCGCCTACACAGGGATGGCTTTCTTTTTTTTATCACGAAGTCTTCAGGATTCAGGGAGTGTCTATAAGCGCATACAACTGCGTACTTTTTTGCTATACGCACGAAATTGCGTGCAATGTATCATACATCATACTTTGCTATGCACATTATTCTGTGCCGTAGATCTAATGCTGTGGCGTACGAGTCGGCTTTGGCTTCCGTGGCACTTGGCGCGTGAATGGTCTTTATGCGCGAGATGATGTTTTCGCCCACTTTCTTTTGTCTAAAGAGGCACTGTCGCAATATTATTCTAAGGAAACACACACAACATGGGTGGTCCACCGATCAAAGACAGTCGAGAGCCGAAACAAAGTAATGTTGGTCAATTGCAAAATCTGCCCAGAAGTGCTGTGAGCGACAGGAACTGATGAGCTTTCTTCAGATACACTGCAAATGTAGACTGTTCGACAAAGAAGAAGAGAATAATAAATAATGTGATCTCTTGCGACCAAAGTGGGGTGTGGTACCACAAAACGTTCCCGGGGTGGACAACAGCAAAGTGCAGGGAATGTAGTCAGCATGATTGGTTCTGTCATTATGTGCGAGTAATGCTCGTGTCGTGTTTAGGAATTGCCATGCACTGTTTTCTCTGTTTACAGATGACGTTGAACATTTTCGTCAGAATTTCTACACCGCTGTCGCCAAGTACATTGATAAGTTCAATACAAACTTTATCTCGACCAAATGCCTTTCCTTTTTTTTCTTTTTTTCCTCTACAAGCTGCAGAAACTTCATCGTTAAGTACTCTTCATCTACTTATGTCTCCCTTCTTTGAATTATCTGGAACCTTGACTCTCTCATCATCAGAATACAGATTTCCTATGTATTCAACTCACCTGACAGCAATATGCCTTCGTTTTTCATTAGAATGTTTCCCTTCGAATCTCTTAGCGTTTCCATTGCGCTGAGTTCATTTTTTCCTGTTAAATTTTTCATGGATTCATGGAATACTTAGGCATTTTTATACTTTTACTTTTTCTAAATGTTCCCATTCCAACTCAATACACATCGTTGGGTTTTTTGGGGTTTTTTTTGGGGGGGGCGTGGGCTTGATGCATTCTTTCTTTTTTTATTCTCACACGTTAATGTGCCCTGAACACATTTCGTGTGAGTGATATTCTATAAAATGTAGGTTTTTGTGCTTGGGAGAAAGGAGAACGGCTGTAGCTTTTTGGCATTGTAGAACGCCACTTCGCCAGATACCCTCTTTCCGAGATGTGGCTGTTGCTTCCGTGATGTCAGAACGAGTGAAGATGTATCTCGTTATCCCTTTGATGATTCTTCGGTAATGTATCTGTGGGGAGGATGTTGTTTCGATTTTCGTCCTGGGTTTTGATAAAGTGAGTAAATTTCATTCTAGTTATCATCATTATCATGTTAACAATCATTTGTCGTTATACATGTATCTAAATCTTGCATTGTTTATAATGTTTGCTCAATAGATAAGATTTATTTCAACCTATGGACTTGTTCCTTTATTACCGTTCTAACTAACATTTTTGACAGTTCCCTATATCTGATATGTAGTCAAATTATCTAGTTGTAGTAGTCCTCTAAGCCAATCATGGATTTGAACCTTGCTAGCACATACGAGTTAATTTTCCCTCTTCTTAAATTTGCCCCTCAGAATTATGTTTTCCCTTTTCTCCCACTCGCATAACCGGGCTTAGGCGAGAGGATAAGAATGGATAAATCACCCGAGTCTTCACTCTTGTACCTTATTATTGAGATAAGAAATACAGAAACCTTCATGCAGTCTGTACAACTGTTCTTTTCATTTTCAAACTTTTTGAATTCCTCTGATTTTCAGCTGAAAACCGCCTCAGAAAAACAGAAAACGTGAGGATGCATAACATCTGGGCGGCTTTCCTTCAAATCACTCAATAGTTGCCGTTCTTATAGATTCAATGTCCCTTCTTCGGAAGCATGCCAGTTTGTCACAGGCCTCGACTGTGCTCTGCATGATGGAAGTTATCACTGACACTCAAAAAGAGTAAATGAATGATTGATTGATCGTATGAATTGAATAAATTATTATTTTTTAAGGAGGGGAGGGGCTACACCTGAAGGCTATCTCGCTAATTACCAGACCGAATTTTACCAAATTTCATACATATAACAAGCATAGTAAAGAGTCTTAAAATCCGCAATCAAATTTGAGAAAAAAAGTTTCGTTTCCATGGATACGGCGGCCATATTGGATTTTGTTGACATGTCTTACGTAATGAATACCGCACTTATCGCTCACGGAAATTAATTGAGTTTTCTTTTGCAAGCAAGTTCACAAACATTAGATCTAAAAGTTTGTCTGTTGTTTTTTTCATAAACGAATGCGAAAATTTTCAATGAATTTTTTCCTGAGGTAACATTCAAGTTTGCAAAAAATCTGTGAAAATCCACACTCCAGACACCACCAACAAAAATGTATTCAATATATATATAAAAAATTCTAGTACAAATTTTTATTATTACATCTTCTTTTCATTCTGTGAAAATTTCATGAAGATTGCAAGAAAAATGGTAACGTTATTAAAAAAAGTATAGAGAAAAGTCGCGTTTTGAGAAAACGGCCGATAAAGAAAAATAAAATACCGACTTTATGAGGAACTGGCGGTGACAAACATGTCCGGTATGGGAAAAATACGGTTTTTGGGACGTTCTCATGCGATGAAATAGTTGTAGGAGAGGCTGAGGAAGCTAAAAATGCCTACAACTCAAATTCCATAATTCTGAGCAGAATTTTGACTTTGGGGGTGCAGCCCCCCCCCCCCCCCCCCCCCCCCCCCCCCCCCTTACATTGTTTTTAATTTTAACGAAAGAACATCCATTGCTGAAATTTTAAAAAGTAATTTGCTTTGATGTGCATCTAAAAAGGAAAAAATATTGAACAACACAAGCTGAATTGAGATTTTATAGGGACTACTATCTCTACTCCACCAAATTGAAGGTGGGGAATAAAAAACTTAAGTTACAACTACAGTGTTAAAGTGTTGTAATTACGACTGTCATCAATACTCAAATACATGTAGGCTACTTAAATGAAATTGTGACAGCTCCCCCCTCTCCCAGTTAGGTACGACAGTCTGAACCTGACACTGTGCGTAGACTCAACGTGTCTATATTATAATTGCGTGCGCTAAGCAAACTATGATACCTTGCACGCCGCGTGTGTATAGCAAAATTTGAATTTCTGTGCTCGCAATTGCGTTCACAGAAACTCAACCAAGTCTTTATAGTTTGATTGTCTTCATATTTATGAACATAATTTTAAAAAAACAAAGTCTAGTGCTTGAACAAATATCGCATAAAATCAAATTCCTCGCAAGCCTCTCTACTTTGATAGACTAATACTGATCCCGAAAATGAAATCAGTGTTAGCTGCGATTTTTAAAAAAAATTCTGGGCTAGGCGACAATCCTCAAAGTAAGGGATTCACTGCGTCCTGGCTCGTCTCTCCCAAATCTGATATACACCATACATACAGTACAGTATCTCTCAAAATTATATCAGAAGGCGCTTGATTTCTCAATCGAGTCCAAAAGGGTCTCGATAATTCTATTAATAAACTCATTGATCGTGTTTCCAATCCATTATTCTTTATCCAATATTTTAGATACATTAATTAAAATTTGAAGAATTTTCTCTCCGTCTTTGGTCTGAAGAGAATGCTACCCTCTAGAGGGGATGTGCGGAACACCCCCAATGGTGAGGCGGAGGCCTTGGTTCTCTACGGGGTCTAGTTTACAACACGAAGTCTTGCAGATCCAGAAAACTGAACAGGCGTAGTCAAGCTTAGAATAAGTTAGACCTAACAAGAAGAGTAAAG